AGAGAGAGAGAGAGAGAGAGAGCGAGAGAGCGAGAAAGAGAGAGTGGGAGAGAGAGTGAGAGTGAGTGAGAGAGAGACAGAGAGAGATGGAGGGAGAGAGAGAGAGAGAGAGAGAGATGGCATTGACTCTTTAACTGGTCACCTACTGCAGGAACTACCAGATCAAGACCAGAGAGGCTATCAGGCTTTGTACACGGTCAACAAAATGATCAACATGATAGACTTTGAGGACAGAAGTACTCTAAAGGCGTAAGTACTACAACATTGAAGGGTCATGGCACTTTACAATGTTGACCAGTGAGACAAAAGACCGTGTATACACCCAAGCACCCAAGCACAATTTCTATTTAAGGCACAGCTGTGAGTATGCAAATGAGGCAATTTTGGCTCGTTTGTCTCTTTTTACTGCCAAATGACGTCATATTTTGTAGCCGTACTACGAGTAAAACTTTTCTTAGTGTGAACAGACGTAAAATCGTTCAGTGACAAAAGGAAAATTAACCAATTGTTTAATAATACCACGCTGGTGTTTAAATGTGACTTTCTATTTCTATCCCATAGATCTGGTTAGCGTTTGTGTGGAATGTAATGATAACTTCTTGTCTCATGAAGCAAGTTGGGTGCATGCATTTATTTGTTTGGTGACAGCAATTTGCACAGTTTTTCTTATTGAAGGCGAAGCGGTTGCTGTGTGGAGAGGGGAGGGAAACTGATAAATGCTGTGAAGGGTGAAACGACTGTGTTATTTCCCTTAACATATATTGCCCCATGTTGCCAACCTCCTTTTTTCCTCGTCGCGTCGTCGTCCCCCTCGTTTTCATTCCTTGTAGATACCTGCAGACATGCCGTGGAATAGACAGTATACACGGTAGGCGAAAATAAAATAACTCTTAGCAACGGGCGGGGGTTGGATTTCAACAAAACATGGTTTCATGGTTTCCAATGTTTTGAATTCCATTTTTTGTTCTTTCAGATTGGAAATATTGCTCAATAATTTAATTCTGTTTGAAAATATAATGTATAACACTATTATCTAAACTTGCATTAGTTCTATTAATGCACTGACATTCTACAGAAAAAAGATTCTACAGTTTAAAGTATGCATCATTTCTGCTCCCGGAAGAGAAAGACGATGCACTCACCGTATCAAAATAAAAATCCGTTTTCCAGAAATTTAGTTGTTGACCAGTAGGCCTACTTGATTAATTTGTTTCTTTTTTTTTCAGCGCCAGAAACCTTGCTTTGGAATTCTTTAACCAGAAGAACGGAGAATCTCAACACACTCTGTATGCAATGGGTCACGCCCATATGGATACCGGTACGTTGTATTTATTGTTTCTGTGTGTGGATCTGTGGAACCCC